GTCACTTGATCTTGTTGATAGCGTTAATTGGGGTCAAGCAAGAAATTTGCCGGGTAATTTGCAGCAGTGTTTCCTAGCAAGAGTCCAGGAATAAAAACTCCGCTAAAAGAAACCAGCATTGTTCCCAATGACTTCTGCAGGATTTGCAGAATTGATTTTAAAACCAGTGGCCGATCTAAGATCAACGTTTTTGGAAAAAATTACGAGGAGTTTTTGAAAACATTATCATCAATTCTGTCGTCCGATGTTATACAACAGAATATGATGGGAGTATCGCAGTTAATCTGCCAGAAGTGCCAACGAGAAGTTTTGCAATTTTCGAGGGTGTTAGAGCAAAAATTGGGAAAAATGTAACAAGGCCCTAAGAATTCAGTTGGCAGACTACCACTTGCACAGGAAATGACAGAAGCGCTGCATGAAAGAGTCTCCGGATGTTGTGTCTCGACTGCTTTGTCTGAGAGGCTAAAGCCTTTCAGAAGAAAGCAGAAGTAACATTTACACTGAAGCGATCTATTGGGTTAAAAACTCACATTCAAAGGACACAGCATCATAAGGTATTTAAATCATGCTTCTACCAAACACGTGATAAATACCCAAAACCAGTGGTCGTGCCACATGGCAATGACCAGCCTTTGACTTCGTCTTAAGCCTGCTTTCCCCTCTCATAACTCTTTCCGCCGGACAACTTTAGCTGCTCATTTTTCTATGCCACTTTTGTCTTACAAGCGACATTGATAAACTGGGAGAGCTCTGAATAAGAGAGCTCTAAAGAGTGTGCAAGTATATCTGCGCACCGATTAGACCCAAGACCTTTAGCATCAGGAAAACCCCAAACCACAACCGCAAACCGCAGTTACGCGTTTGCAGTTTCGCGTTTCCGAGATTTCAAACTTTAGCAGGGCGTTCAGTTCAGTTTCAGTTCAGTTCATTTTTATTTAGCCAAAATATAATACAATACAAGAATACATATAGGAATTGTAATGTTGCAAGGGAGCCCAGAGGAAACCAGAAGGCTTTATGATGCCTGGGCCCACCAGTCTCAAAGAAATAAGCAAAATAAAATGAAGTTCGCGGAGTGATACGTTAAAAATAGGAACTAAAGAGAGACTGAGTTAAGTTATGAATTCAGTAACAAAATAGAGAAAAAAGTTTAACTCTGGATTGGAACAGAATACTTTCCTTTGATAGTAATGCAGAAAGGAATATACAATTGATTTGAACTACGCGTTCATTGTTTAGGGCCGCCATGTTGTTTTCATCAAGTCGAAGTGCATCACTTTAATCGCCCAAAAATCCAACAAACACATCGTAAACGGATATAAAAAGCTAGTTTATACCTTTAAACGCGAGGCTGTACAATTTTTTGTGGCAAAAAACCTTGCCGTAAAATCACTTACCGCTGGAAGCCCTTCCTGCGGTTAAAACGTGAACTGCAAACTGCAAACCTGACCGCAAGGCCGTGGTCACGTGACATTTTGCGGTTTGCGGTTTGCAGTTTCCCATGAAAAACGTGATGCTAAAAGTTTAAGGGCGCTTTCCATTTACGAAAAAAACCCGGAAATTTCGGTGGTAGCAAAAGTGGAATTTCCGATTGGTAAAAAGTTGTTCCATTTGGTCGTAAACCCCGGTACGTGGCGCGGTGCCCGACCGTGGACCTGGAACTGGTACAAACTACGAGAAACGTAAATGGAACACGATATTCCGTTCGGAAATTCCAACCGGGAAAACGGGACCACCTTTTTAGATTTTCCACTTTTTCTGGGAATTTTCCAGTGGGACGAACCGACGAAACGTGTTCCATTTACCGCCGAACCGGAAATTCCGGAAATTTTGACTAAATGGAAAGCGCCCTAAATTTCCACCGAAGAAAGAGAAGAAAACCACGCTTTACAACCGTAGACTTCAAAACAAGGCTGTATAGGATTACAAATCATTGAAAAGCTAAGGTCCATGGTAGAAATGGGTAATCACGTGACCGTACACCGACCGACCGCCCGAGCGTCGGTCCCCACCACGGGGAAACCAATGTTTAATCTCACAATTTCTAGCTAGTTTGGGAGCCCAGGTGCAACCTGATATTGCACATCCATGTTGTGATCAATTGACAGCTGTCAAAACAGGGTATCCACTAACCAGTATCACCTAATCGTATCGCGGGCTCAGGTTTGACCCATCGAGGTCGCGTATTTTTAAAGTTATGCACTGACAAGTTACTAGTTTTCAAACGATCGCAGGCTCAAGTTCAGTTTTTTAAAAAATGCATAGGAAATACGTTGTGTGAGCCGCATTATTACAGTGTAACATGATCACTTGTTCTTGAAAATTCTAATTGTACACACAACATGTAAGCTGAGTAACCAACTTTTTGCAAGTTCAGTATTCATTTTGGGGGCCTCTTTTTATTTCATTGTAAATACGACATTAGAGAGATACATATTTCCTCTAAATTCTATTCGGAGTTACTGCAATGGTGGTCTGAGTTTCGTAGTGTTTTCGATAG